TAATTTTTTATTTAGACTCCAATTGTAATACAAAGTATGACTTTCCTAAGAATCATTATACGAAATTATTTATTTAGAATTGAACAATTACATATATCTATTTAAACAAGAAACGCTAACACCACCCCCATGAATTTTCTAGGATGCCAAATCCTATAAAATAAATAAAATTAATGTGCAATGATTAAATTTGTAAATTTGTAAATTACAAATTTGGTGATACAAATCCTGACTAATAGATTCACTTGAAGCCAGCTTATCTAAAAGATTTCCGGATATTTAGAGAATGAAATACAGAGGTGATGAAGGCTTTTGATAAATAATTAATTACTGATGTTAATAATATTGGACATTAAACACTGTCAAACAACATCGAGGTGGAAATATACTGGCTCTTATCAGCATCTAATTTAAATATGCAACTTGATGCAGATAAATATTTTTTGGGGGGGGGGGTTGAGGGATGGGGAGAAGGAAGGAAATTGAGAACATACTGTCTTTTCTTTTAAGTTTTGGTTCCAAACTGAATATTATGTAGCAGTATTTAGTGGTTTGTAAAAATTGTAAAGGCAGGTGGATTCGAAAGTTAATTTAATTAATTTATGTAATTATTTTTAAAAAAATGTTATATCTATAAATTTAAGGTTCAAATTAAAATACCTACAATCTTTTTCTTTATCTTCATAATGCAATTTCTTTTTGTACAAAAAATATAAAGGCAGCTGTGATAGTGAATGAAGACAAACTGCAATATGCTTTAGCTGGACCTGAAGGATACTGTCATTGGTTCATGATGCCTTAGTTAAATTTCATTAATGTGGAATTTTACTGAAAATTTTAACCAAAAAAAAAGTTAAGAACACAAGTTTTTTTTTTTTTTGTCGTCTCAATTAGTTTAAGGACTCTGGAAAAAAAAAAACACCATTTCTAAAATCCTCAAGTTTTTTTCTTCCATTATATTCTTTTCAAATAATAGGAATTTTAGTTGTCTATAACAACTTACTCAACTAGTTAATTAATTAATTAATTATTACCATCAATATATATGCTCTTTCAGTGTTCTTTCTCGTAATTCACAAACTCAACAAGAAAACTAATTTAAAAGCGCAAGCATTTTTCTAAAAAGAATTGAAAAGTCACCAATTTTCTCTAGCAATCGAATAAGCTTGAAGGAAGTTTGGAAATACAAATTTAGATATGCTTTTCCTTCCATATGATGTTGTCTCAAATCTTATATAAATAGATAAAAATAAAAACTTTTGACAAAATAGAAATTATCTAATGTGGATAATTTATATTATTGATATGTGGACAATCTTGAAAATCTTCGTGTCTATTGCATTTAATTATTTTGAGTTAATTTTATATAAATTCTATTTATTTAGAAGATTTCTTTTGATTAAATTAAGTATATTTATTATCTTTTACAAATCAAATATTTTTACATTTTATAAATATATATTACAAATCAATTATCTTAAATCATTTTCAAAAAATTCAATTCCTAATTTTAAGCATCATTCAGGAATGCTATAAATAACAAATGTTCTTCTTATATCTTATACAAATATATAAAAGTCAAAGTATTTAGTAAAAAAGAAAAATGTCTAATATGGATGGCTTATAATATTGACATGTAGATAACTTTTGTCAATCGTTATGTGTTTTGTATTAATTATATTTATTCATATTTATTTCTCTATAAATTAATATAAATTGATTTGATTTCATAAAAATTTTAAAATATTTCAATGCAATAATTATATTTTTTTTAAATTCTCAATTAACTTATCTTTTATTTCCAATAAATAGCTTAAATTATAAATCAAAGCTAAATCAATGATATATTATAATCAAAGAATTTCTTAATGATTCACATATTTAATAAATACTATAATAACAATCATTAAACATATTTTTTAATGATTCAAAGCACTTCTATTGAAGTCTAATAAAAAATATTACAAAAAATTTAATAACCACTGTAATTATGGTCAAGAGTTAATTCCTTAATCAATTATTTGATATATTTATATTTGATTAAATATAATATCCAACTGAATAATGGATGTTATTCATGTATAAATATATATAAATAATATAATAATTTTATATATTTATGTAAGATTTATGATACATTATAATGTTAAATTTTTGTTTTTATTATAAAATCAATCGTACATTATATTGTTAAAATTTATATATATAGGTTGTGATCAATAAGTTGTACATTCTATCTTATCTTATATAAATATATAAAAACTAAAACTTTTAGTAAAATAGGAAAAATTCAATACGGATAATCTATTTTTTGACATGTGGATTGTTATAAATAATCACCACATGTCCTACGATTAATTATTTTGATTTGACTTTATATATTTTTTTATTAATATATTTTTATTTATTTTTTAATAATTGATTCGAATAGATTCAAAATACGTGAGATACAAATAAAAAAGAAAAAAAAATTAATCTCATCTTTTAAATTTATTAAAATAAATGATTAAAAAAACTTAAAACTTTTTAGTTTTACATCATTATAAATTGATTTATTCTTTATTATTTATTGGTACATTTTTGTCTTTTTAATTACTTACTTAAGTAACTTCAACTTCTAAGATTATTACCATTGTGAAATAGCAATCTGGCAAAGAGATTGAAACATTTGCATGCAGCCAAGATTAATTGGGCAAAAAGATTGAAACATTTGCATCATGCCAATATTAAGTATAAAGGACGTAAATTTGATTTAATTTTATATTGAATTTGTAAAATTATATATTGATTCATTTGTTAATTTGTTTGTTTGATTTGATTCAATTTAGTGATTTCTTACATTATAATATTTTATTATAATGTAATTTCATTAAAAAAAAAAAAACCACGCAATTGGATCAAGGCAGCTTGAATGATATATGGTGCAATGTGAAGGTAGTAGTCTATAAATATGGTGTATGGAAATATGAAACTCCACAACCTCCCTTTCATTTTTGTAGAGAGAAAACATGAACACTCTTCATATCTTAATTTCATTCTTTTTGCCTGCCTGCTTTCTCTTGTTATGCTCTTCCATACCTGTTGTGCTATCTAAAGCTACTATCTAAAGCCAACACCTTGATGACCATAGATCTGCTCTGGTTTAGTTGTAGTACTAAAATCTTTACTTTTCTCCTAATTTTGCTTTCTCTTTCAAAATTGAGCTTTGGGATCTCAAAAAATATTATTGAAATCATGTGTGATGCTCTTGGTCATGTTATTGGCCTCGTTCTTAATTACAGAAACTTTTTATGGAGCTTTCTATCTATTTTCAATCTCCATCATCTTCAACGCTTTAATCTTACTGGAAACAATTTTGATACCACTATGTTTTCTTATGTGTTTGAAAGAATCCCAAATTTGACTCACCTAAACCTCTCAAACTCATGTGTCCATAGCCAAATTCCAATGGCAATCTCACTGTTAATAAGGTTAGTGTCTCTTGATCTATTTAATCAATATTATTGCTATTGGAGAAATGATCAAAGTGTTGATTCATATGGTGATTATTAGCTAGCTCTAAAACTACAAGAACTAAATTTCAACTCATTAATCTAGAATTTGAGGTCTCTCACAGAACTGTATTTGGATATGGTAGATATTTCAAGTCAAAGAAGTAAATGGTGTGAAATCATATCTTTAGTATTTTCAAATTTTAAAAACCTTTATAAAATTTCAATTCAACAAAATAGTTTGGTCAAAGAGCTCAGACTCAACTCGGCTAAAAAAGCTTAGATCTACAAAATTTTTCATAAAGACCCAACTCGACAAAATAATTTGACCAAAAGGTTAGATTCAACTCAGTTAAAAGAACTCGAATCTTCAAAATGCCTTCATAAAAACTCAATTCAATAAAATAGCTTAGTTTATGAGCTGGGACTCAACTTGACCAAAAGAGTTTGGATTTACAAAATGCCATTACAAAGTCTCAATTTGACAAAATAGCTCAGTCAAAAAATTCGGACTTAGCTCAATCAAAATAACTTGAATATGTCTTATAAAAGCCCAATTCGACAAAACAACTTAACTTAAGAGCTCAAACTCAACGCAGCCAAAAGAATATGGATTTAAAAAATACTTTCATAAAGGCCCAATTTGATAATACAACATAGCAAAAGAGCTTAGATTCAACTCGACCAAAAGTGTTTAGATGTATAAAATACCTTCATAAAGACTTAGTTGAGTCACCTCAGTCAAAGTGATTAGTTTAGCCAAAAGAGCTCAGTTAAGCCAAAAGAGTTTATCTCACCCATCTCAATCAAAGAGCTCATCTCAATAAATTATCTTCACAAAAGCTTAACTCTATCGCCCCGATAAAAAAACTCATCTTGATAAATTATCTTCATAAAGAAAATTTTGTGGTGTATTTAAAACGCCCCTTAAATCAATAATCATTGAAATAAAGAAATAAAAATCATAAAAATTAATGTTAAAATTATCCACATATCCTTTTGTTCATAACATTATTTAAGATTATTGTTATTTTGGGTAGAATATATTATTGTAATGTAAAAAATAAAATTGGGTTTGATGTATAGACAAAACAAGCAACAATTAGTAGAGTTATCAAATCATTTGATTTTTATATGATTTTTTTTTATTTTTCAATTTACAATTTTTACTACGTTCAATATATCTGTTTGTCTTTATCATTGTGTTGCTTGCATATTACTTGATGCAAAACGTTTTTGGTTACTCACATTGCGATATTTTTGTAATACCCCAAAAATTTGTTACTGTGCTATGTTATATTACTACAAATCTTAAGGATTGCAGTATTTTATTGATTATTGGATAATAATATTATAAGAGTGACTCAATTGGATAAGTTTAGTTACTGGATGATATTACCAGAGGGATTAAATTGCATAACAAAACTCTTGGAAGTGTAACAAGGTAAATATTCCGATTTTATCTGTCAGATAAATTATTCTTTTCTCCTCCAACAGAAAAAAAAAAGATTTCAAAAAAAAAAAAAAGGAGCAGCAGCGGTAAAGGGAGGCTGCCACCGTGGGTTTTTAGGGTTGCAAATCAAGTTCTAAGGTAAGATTAAAATTCATTTTTCTTGAGATTTTTCTATTAGGTAAGATTAAAATTCTTTTTTTTTTTTTTTGTATTTTGTTAGTTCTCTTCGTAACCTAACTTTGGGTTTCAAAATTTTTCAATTTTTCGACGACATTTCGGTGGCATATTTGGTACAATTGGAAATGTCTCTTCAAGACCTTTCAAATGCATGTTGTGGAAACTCATTTGGTTTAGTATTGTAGGCAAAATTAATTTTTGAAGTTGAAAACAAATGGGTCTTTCACAGTGTTGGTGATTCAACTTTGGGTCACCGTAAAGCCATCTTCTGGCAGTTTCTTAGGTCAAAACTTGGGTGCTATTTGAAGTAGAAAGTGTCCTCTTTAATGTGGTGGTAATGGTTCATTTCGGGGTTCGTCGAGAAGGAAGAACTAAGGCACCAAAGTCATCTTCATGAAGCTGAAAACCAAGAAAATCTGGGCATGCAGTGATCATGTCCAATATTTTTGCCTCTAACACTCATGATTTTGGTAACCATTTTGGATGAAACAAAATTCTATATTTTAGTACTGCATGCATACTTTAACTTTCTGTTTTGATTCATCACTAAAGTCGATTGGAGTTGGGAGATATTTTGGTTCAAAGACAGCCTAAGGATGAGGAAATTCTAAAAAAAAAAAAATCAGAATTTTAAAAAAATAATTTTAATTATTTTTTTTTAAATTATGTTTGGTTAACTTTGATTCATTTTCATTAGAAATAGCATGGACTTCAATTACATGATTTTAGTGAAATTTTTTTATTATAAAAATACTTTTGTGAAATTATTATTATGTTGGTAGTCTTAAGGAAAACTCAAATAAACACAAAGTTAAAATAAGTCCTTTAAACAATTTTATGATTTAAGCTTCAAAAATAAATAAATAAAATATTGCTAATGATTTTGTGTTTTCCAACTTTAATTTCTAATTTTCTTTATTTTTGAATCCAAATTATTAGGAAATATGGTTTCAATAAAGGAATACATATTTCAAATAGTCTTAGTTTGTAAAGGAAGTTGCCACTTGCCTTAGATGCTTTAGGGTAAAGGAAGTTGCCACGTGTCTTAGATGCTTTAGGATGGCCACTGAGAAGTTGTACCTGTTGAGTTTATGTTTTATGTTAAATTCTAATTCTGGAATATTTCTTGAATTATTAGGTTATTAAGATATTTGAGTGATTTGTTTCGTACTATCAATTCAGCAAACCAAGTAAGTAACTTGATATCTCTTTGGTATTTTCATTTTCACACCTTAAAGGTCAGCCCAAATGTGATTATATTTGTATGAAATGTATAATATTTTGACCTTTGACTTGTTAAATCTGGTTAAGCTTGCAAAGTATATATGACTTTTTTGTTTTGAATTTAGAATGTGGATTTTGACTTACTTCGGTTTTTGAACATAATAATCTTGTCGTAATATCTGTGTGTTTATAAATCTTTATGAACACAGATTTTTGCATAAGATATTTTGGAAAGGAATATGAAACTTGGTTATGGATTTGGAATGTAGGTTTGTTCTGTATTTAATCTTTGAACACGATTTTGTCCAAATATGTGTATATATCTATCTTTGAGAATGTAAGTTATTGCATAAGGTATTTCGAAAGGAAATACGAAACTGTGGTTTATATGAGATGTATTTTGGAAAGTGCATGATATAGCTTTGCTTAAACCCTGGCAATAGGGGTTAAACATTGGTCATGTCCGACACATACATTGTGATGTGAAACTGGTTTTCGTATCGTGCCACCATATATGAATAATGGTTTTCATACGGTGTTATCAATTTAGAATAGTAGTTTTTGTTCCATCACACTGGTTACGAATAGTGGCTTTTGTACTGTGCCATCGGTTTCGGAATAGTAGCTTTTGTTCTGTTCAGTGCAACTATTTGGTTGTCTTTGATATTCCTACTGGGGTTAATTGTGGTTTTGTTGTGATTCTAACCAATGTCACATAAAACTTATAAAGTTTATGATCTTGTAAAATACTGTTTAGGTTTGATATCTGAGAAGCTGACTTTGAGTGAATATAATTATGAAAGCCAGATTAACCAATTCTGATTTTAAATAGTTATATCCGGTAGCTTTGTGAAACTTCATTTTGTTTTGTGGTGTGAGAATCCAATCCTGGTAAATATTATTTTGAATATAAAACATACTAAATTTTTGTATCATATTATTGATGAAACTTGGCTTGAACTTATGAAATTAAAACTTGTGAACTATGTTAGTTTTGTAGATGTATGATATAAGATTTTGAAATCATATATATTTCCAATTTCATGATTACCTGAAACTTTTGTATTATGAAATTATTGTTGTGATTTGGCCTAAAACGTTTTGAAGCATGCTTAATCCACATGAGAGGATGTCAGTTGCTTGCTGAGTCTTTGTACTCATTCCTGTTAATCATTATTTTTCAGCTTTCAATAATTGCACCTCCATAGGATTACTTTGGACGAGAGCTTTGTTAGCAAGTTTAGCATCTGCCCTTAGTCTCGTGTTTCTCAAATGTGAGTATTTTGGATATCAGTCGTTAGTAAATTTGTTAGTTAGTGAAATTTTTGTACCCTTCACCAAATTATATCACTGAATTTTGGAGAATTTAGGTTTTGTAAGATATGATACATGGAGACTTTGAAATTCTGTATGGTGTTATCTTGAAAAAAATTTTGAGGTTCTGAATTTTTATTCAGTATGGTATTTGTTACCTTATATGTTTATGTGATTTGTCACATGAGTATGTGGCGATGTTATATCTGAAACCCTCGGCTTTGGGGTGTGAAAATTTTATATAGTCAACTTGTTTTGAGTTATGGGAAAAGGACATATATATGTGAGATCTTTAGCTCAGTGATATCTGAGTCAGTTCTAAAATTGAGGGTATAGAGCCTAAAAGAGAAAAGAAACGGACATATTTTCACTTTACATTATCTACTTTTTGCTGACACGTATCTGTATTATGTCATTACCCTGGTTTACAATTTTACTTGTCATTCGAATATAAACTAACCAACTGTGTTTCATTTGTTGATGTTTTGCTTCAACACCTGCAGCCATGAACATTTTTATTTCTTAATTTGTTTAGTGTTGTAGTTGGAAGATTCACTTCTCTGTATGCCATATTAAAGGAAATGCATTCCCTGCCAGATGTTGGGAAAATCTTAGATTATGCAGTGATGAGTTTTTTGAGATAACTGTTGCTGCAATCATATACATTACATTTTTTATAAGCATTTTTTTGAAGTCATACTTGAAATTATTGTTGTTGCAATCATATACGTTACATTTTTTATAAGCATTTTTTGGAGGTCATGCTTGAAATTATTGTTGCTGCACGCAAGTGCCTTGTTATATTCTTTCTCATTTTTAGGCTTTTTTTTTTTTGCTCAAATTTGATAACTATGGGTTTCAGGCATTAAGACTTGAAGGTTAAGATGGGTTTTTGTCATTTTGATTCTTGGGAGATATTTGAGGATTGGAATCTCGATGAGATGTGTTTTATTTGCAGAGGAAAAGATGGAGAAGGTTGAAATTTTCATGAAACTAAAATAAAAAAAAAAAAAAAAGAAGCGAGAAAATTATTGAAATCCAATTGTTAAGCTTTCTAGGTAATGGTTTGAGAGTTGGAATCAGATTTAGACAAAATGATTGAATAAAAGGAAAAAGGGACGTAAAAATGAAAGGAAAACCTCAGTTCAATTTCTTAATTGTTGCTGCTTCTTCTGTACATTTATTAACATTCAATTCGCTGACTCCAGAGTCCAATTGAATCACTCTCATAGCTCTGCAGGTGAGGAGATGATGAACCAAGCAATGTCCATAACTAGCTTCTCTCAGAAAAATCAACTTTTTGATGTTTCCTTGAAATCCCATCAATTGTTTTCGACTTTCTCGTAAAGTCTTCATCTCTTGGGAAGGTACCTTCAGAGCCAAAGGCTGCAGGATCCAAGGCAGTTCAAGGAATCTGAATTGGGTGTTGTCCAAAGCATTGAAATCATCCCTTGAGGAGCAGGGGATTTGGAGCCATGATAGTGATGAATTCTCACTTGTTGGAACAGTTCAAAATTTTCTGCATTAACAAAAGAAGTTAGTGAATTAACCATCCTGTTTATAGCATTATTCGAGAAATCACTACTAGAGATCAGACCAACCCCAATGGCCAGTGAATTGAAGCACAGCCTGCTCATTATACGTCTCCAAGTATCTATAATTTCTCGAATGAATCGTTCGGATACAAAACTCTTTGCAACTTCAAGATAAATTCCTTTATGAAAAAGCACTTCGAGCACTTCCTACAAGAACATGGTACATTCAAAATGATATTAGCTGCCAATCCCCTGAAAGTTTGTGTTGTAAGTTCAATTGGCATAGTGGTTGAAGTTTTTGCAAACATTATTACCTGCCGTATGATTTTGAATACATGCATATATTATATAGTACAAAAGCATGTTATTTGTATATAACCATTGTGATCTTGAATTACTTTATGCATATTCAGTCAACTTAATGTAATGCATGAGCTCAGGTTTAATTCACAATATTCATAGAGCACTCCAGACTGATCCTTACCGTAAATGTAGTTTGATCAAAGAAAAGGATTGGCTACCAGATACCAGGAAGTTCAGTCTCCGCAACCAAGGAGAAGCTTTTTACATTTGAATAGTGCCTAGTGTAGGCATTCCTTTGAGTACTAAGAGAGAGATGACACCATCATAGCTCACATGGTCGGGGCCATTGATGCATTTATTGAGGTGTCTCAAGGTTGGCCGCTATCAAAATCTGCATTGAAATTGTTATCTGTCAAGAGCTCAGATCATCATTCAAGGGGAATTTCATCTACAAGATACAAATGGGCAACATCTATGGAGAAATGCTGGCTATCGTTCTGTTGATACTCAGTTGCTTTCTTTTTTCTTAATGATCATTATTTTTATTTTTTTAATTTATAATGAATTTTTATAAATGTAAGATTTTGATATTCGGAGTATTTATTAAATGAAATAATCATTTCATCAATCTCTTAGACTTCTCTTTTTGTTTGATGACAATTAACTTTTATTTTTCCTTTTATAAACGCATGTAGCAATATTTCTAATTTGTTGAGGTTTATGGTTAATACTATGTGAAGCTAATAAATTTTTATTTTAAAATATTAAATGGAAATAAAATTAATAACAAAAATCGATAAACTTATAGCACTTGTTGGATATAATCTATATATACAAAAACTCAATAAACATTGACAAAAAATTTATTAGATGTTTGGCCAAACTTATGGAAGAGATTATTTAATGTAAAAATAGTGTTTGACTTTCAAAATTTTAGGTTAAAAATAAAAATGTCTTTAAATTATAATGAAAAAATTGTTTAAAATTTTAATATTTTATTGCAATCAATTGTGTTCTTAGTCTTTTATTTTGACTTAATTTAATCCATATTTAGATGAAATTTAATCACACTATAAAATTGAACCAATCAATCTTTGAATTACAATCAATTGAATCCTTATAGGAATCTTAGACAAAGAGGAGAAGAGAAAATAAATAAGAAAAAGAAAAAGGAAAAAGAAAATTCTCAGATTGTAAACCATTCCTCAATCCCCTAAACATTTATCTTCTCCATGCATACATGTACTTATGATCAAAAAATTTCATTTAACAAAAAAAAAAGAATGATAAAAAAGCTCCAATTTAAAATTTTTATCACCATAATATAATAGAGTTTAGCATATATATTAATTATAATTACATGAAAATCAACAAATGTAAACCTTTTTAAAATTAAATCACATACCTTAACAAAAAATATATATATATATTTTTTGAAAAGATCCATTGTTTATTCTTATAAATCATATAAATCATTGTAAAAAGAAAGTAAAAAAAAGGAAATTTAAGGGAGGAAAGAGAGTTTTGAAAAAGAAATATGAATGAAAACTTTTAGATAAAAAATTTGGAGAAATCTTGAATGGAAGGAGTAAAGAAAAGAGTTTTTGATAGAATAGAATAGCCAAAATCTATTATGTTTTCAATTCTACATCAAGTATATTAAAATATAAATAATTGAACGTGTTTTTATCCATTTATTTAAATGGATGTTTTTATCTGCTTATTTAACTAGAGATTTATAAAATGTATTAAGATGGATATTCTTAAGTTCTTAAACCAAAATTTTTAAATAGTAATTCATGTATGCTTTTATCAATTTAAACAAATTTGAATATTTTAAATGGTAATATTAAATAAAGTAAATAATCACATATCTTTTTATCTGTTTTCAAATTAATATTTGAATATTTATTATTTTATGATTTAGTTTAAAAGTTTTTGTATTTGATTATTTTGATAATATAAATTACGATTATTTATTATTATCCTATGTGTCATCCAGAAAAATTATCAACTTAAATGTCCACGTAAGTAAATCTTAGTAGGTTTGTATGTATATTGTAATATAATATTATATATGATCGTAATATATTTTATATTTATATAAATATTTATCAATTTTTAAAATTTAACTTTAGTACTATTTACATCTTTATTTTAAATTTATTAAGCTCATTGACGATTATGTAAAAAATGAAATTCATTATTATATTCAAATTTACAAAAAAATTTAAATTTTATAAAATTCCAAAATGATCCAAAACTCATCCAAATCTCTCCGAACTTAAGATTGAACAAAAATTTAAATCTTATACGGTCAAATCTGAAATTATTCAAACTAAAAAATCCAAATTTGAAAGTGTTTGGATTTAAGATAATCAATATCTGAAATAAAATCAAATCCCAACTTATCTGAATACAAAAAATCCAATGTAATCCTACCTAAATTCGTCCATTTGCCACTTCTAGATTAATAAACTTTGAGAAGAAAAATTTTTAGAATTAGAATTAGTTTTTTCGAAGAATAAAAAGTCGACAATATATATTATAGTTTATAAGACATCTTGAATATATCCATTAGCATGTCTCTGCCTCATTAATTCATCTTAATTTCAGTTGAATTAGATATGTTTTCTTCAAGATGTTGTTCCAAAATTGTGTTGAAAGTTAAGAATTCCATAATGGCAATTGCTTTCTCATCTCTTATTCTTTCCATATCATGTCCATCAATTGATTTAAATATAAAACTAATTTTAATTGAATTATATCTTTGATAGCAACTGTTTTTTTTTAAATTTTTTTGGGACTTATTCCAAAATTATGAAATCAAAAGCATCAAAGAACATGGAAGATTGGAGAGTTTGTACGTAGCATATCAAAGTTCATAATTGAACAAAAAAAAAAAAAACAAAATGGGTTCCTTTGTTATTGCTATGTTTTCCCATTAAATGACATGACTAAGACAAAACATTGTCAATTTGGTATAATAAAAAAATTTCTCAAATTATAAGAAAATTCTCTAATTTTTTTTTATCGTTTCAATTGGTTCAAGGACTTTGATAAAAGACAATTTTTAAATCCTCAAGGTTTTTATTTCTGCCATGTCAATTGGTTCAAAGACTTTGAAAACATAAACAATTTTCAAATTCTCAAGCTTTTCCTTCATCCTATTATTTTCAAAATTTGGAAATTTAGTTACCTATAATAACTTAGTCAACAAGTTATTTATAAAAAAAAAACTTAGTCAACAAGTTAAATTAATTACTACCATCAACATCTACGCTCTTTCAATGTGCTTTC